TGGCTTCTTCCTGTCTTCCAGCAATTCTGCCCACAAAGGTCAGGAAGGTATGTGGCCCAGCAGAAGCCAAAGGAGAGACACAGAGCTACCCCCAGAAGAAAGAGGTCTAAGCCACAGGTTCCCCTTAACGATCTGAGGCAGCAGATAAAGGAAGAGGGCATGTCACTTACAGCCTTGCTTCTGCAGTCTTCTCCTTCATGCTATCCCTATAACCCCCCAAAACGGAATGTGGAGTATTCTCTGGTTTGGAGGTTCAAGCTGGAGGTGATTAGAGCTCCCCTAACACTTCCTGACCCCCACTCCTGCCCTCTTAATCCAAGGCTCCTTGGGGATTTTGGAGGGAGGAGGCTACCCAGCCAGCTTCCATCTAAAACTCCCCAGACATAAGAGCTCCTGCCAGAGAGATCTGGAGTCCTGACCCACCAAATCCACCCATCACCTGGATCAGTCCCTTGCCTCTCTCTGCCTCTGTTTCCTCGGCCTACCAAGGTTAGACATAGAGAACCTGGTCTTGAAATCCCTCCTTTGGCTTTTGCAGAAAACAACGAACTGCCTTGGGCTTCCTGGGCACTGGCAAGCTAGCTGCGTGGCCCCCACATATCAGCACACCACCCTGCTCTGCTCAGGAAGTCACCCCACCCTCCACACATCTGGATGGAATTTACCCCCAAAGCAACTCCATTGCTGTGATGTGATCAGGACAGCTCATGTGTCAGAGGAGGCCCTGGTGCAGGCTGTTCTGCGGGGATGGGGGCTTCTGGCTCCTCTCAACAGCTGTAGTGCTTTCATGAGTTCTCTGAAGAGATAAGGTCTGGAGAGCAGTGTCCTACTGAGCTAAGAACAGACACCCAGTAAGGCTCATACTTTCTGTACTGGCTCAAGTACCCCATCCCCAAGCCAGGTAAGGGTGTAGATGCCAGAGGGCAATGGAAGTTGTTCTTGGATCATGCCCACAAACCAGGCCAGTAGGATTCTCCTTGTCTTTCTCTAATCACATCCTGAACCCTGCTAGAGGACCTCAATGGTTAAGATGGTGTTTGCAAAGTTGTGATTGTGAGGATTTCAGGACCTTGGGCTAGGTCTTAGAATCCTTTTTTGGGAAATCAAGATGATTCCTGCTGTTTTCCGGTGGTTTTTGCCAAGTTTAGTGGGGTCGGTGGGCTCTGGAGCTTCCTGTTGCTCAAACTCTCCACTGGAGATCCTTGTTTTGAGCCTATGATTCAAGGTTACTTTCCTGGTCATCCTGCTTCCTCTCCTGCCCTGCCCCTCTTTCTCCATCTCTACCAACATATACACATCTAAGAGGATCTGAGCTCAGGAGTTCTGGGCGCAGTGTGCCATGAAAATTAAGTTTGTCATCCCTATCATGACCTCCTAGTGAGGAACCACCAGGCTGCCTAAGGAAAGATGAACAGGCTTGGATAAGAAACAGCAGGTAGTCTGGAGAGATGGCTCAGTGGTTAAAGACCATTGGCTATTCCTTCCAGAGGTTCCGAGTTCTGTTCCCAGCAACCACATGGTGGCTCACAACCATCTATAGTGGGATCAGATGCCCCCTTCTGACATAAAGTACATGCAGATAGAGCATTCACATGCATAAACAAATAAAGCTTTTTTCTTAAAAAAAAAAAAAACTGTGTTGAAAAGAAAAGAGAAAGAAACAGCAGGTAAGATCACTCATGCTCATGGGTAGAGGCATCACTCCTGTGACGATCACAGCCCTTTGGGCGAGATATGCCATAGGCTTATTACAGGTTCCGCATGCCACAGTGGCTGCACTCTGCAGTACCTCTGAGGACCTTCTCAACACCAGTTGAGTGGAGAGCAAGGCATGTGCCCACCATGCCAGTTCAGATCAGAGTCCTGTGCTCAGTTCTGCTGCCTAGAGAAACTAAAGTCCAAGACCACACCTCCCTCCCCAGGGGCTTGCATGTCAGAGGAGCCCTAGGAAGCTGACCCTCAAGTCAGTTGATGAGAAAGAGAAGAAAGAGCCAAGGCTGGTGGCCGTGCTTGTATACCTGCCCTGAAAGGGACAAGCTGGGGCCATTAGGCTTGCAGCTTAGCCTCCTCCCAGCTTCAAAAAATATTGCCAGGGAAGGAATAGAGCTCACACAACGCTCCCCTCAGTGCCAGCAGTCGCTGCTCTGCTCATGGCAGGGTTATGATTATTGTGAGAAATGACTATCATCAAGACAATTGCTCCTCACCTAGAAAATGTCCTAATGCAGAACATAGCCCAGGACTCACAAGAAGCCTCATTCAAAAGGACTCTGAACTCCAAGAGTTCTGTGCCTGTGTCCAGAGCTCATGGACCCCTCTCACCAGAAAGCTGTTGACAGACATGGAAGGGATAGTGGGATGGTTGGCATCCTGGAGACTACAGTGGCAGCCAGCTTGGGGTGGAGGGTCTGAGTGGGAACGAAGGAGGAAACTAAGGTTCGTCTGGGTTGTTGAGAGCTGCTGTCTGCTCACTTTGGGGGTGTAAAGGTGGAATGGCCGAATCTGTGATGGCTGAAGGTTACCTTGAGGACCACCCAGGCGCAAAGAGACCAGTTAGGGCCTTCTGGAACCCAGATGAAATTTAATGCCAGGATCTAAGCACAGCATAAAATCCCAGAGAAGGAAACCAGCACATAGGTGAGAGTCCCTCTCACAGCCTCTCTCATATGATCTTTGTCACTCAGTGAGATGGTTCTATTTATTTCGTTCATGAGGGGAAAAATGTCCTTAGAGGGTCCTTGCAGGTCACTGATGGCACGATGAGGCTAAAAGTCAGATCTCCTGCTCTTAGGCCAGTGTCAATTTTGCACAGACATCTTAGGGGTGCTGGCTCAGGACAGGTTAGGCAGACAGGTTCACAATAGACTTATTAAATGAAGAGATTCTCAGTGGTGTGGTGATGGTTCTGCAGGCTCAGGACCACAGCTGGGGATAAGTGGTGAGTGAATGATATTAGGATCACAGTAGCCAGGTCTGGAGTCAGGAGACTCTGGTTTGAGGCCCAGGCTTGCACTGACCAACCATGTGAGCCAGGGAAGGAACAGAATCCCTGAGCCTGAGTGATTACTAGCAGAGATGAGTGGTAGAGTCTACTGCAAACATACCTTTGAAGGGTCTCTGAGTAGATGGAGGCTGAGACCTCTCTGTACTGTCTATGACTGCTGCAGGGGCAGGGAAGGATTCAGGCAACCTCATAATTGTGTGTGTTCATTATGGGCTCTTAGTGTCATACCCTGTGCTAACTACTTAGACAAATGGATGAGTAGACAGCTGGCAAGAAGAGACTGAGCTCCAATAGGGAGAGAGGCAATGTGGGATCTCTGGGTGGCACCGTACAAAGACTTGCCTGAAGGGAGCTGAAGGCCTATTCAATTGCATAGTCATGTAGCAAACACAGGCTCCAGAAGGCAAGCTTCCATTCCCTGGCCTGCCACCATCTTGCTTTACCTCCTTCAAGGCCTGGCCCTCTCTGGGCCCATTTCTCTTCCTGGAGAACAGAAAGAAGAAGGCACTTGAGGAGTGGGAGCTCAGCTGCCACAGAGGGAGACTTTCTCACACCTGAAGCCTCCAGGCCTGTTGGGATCTGCAGGCCTGAAGGGGATTTCCTGAGGCGGGCCCTGTTCCTAGCTGAGCTGAGCTGAGGGTGCCCTTGGATGGGTGCCCA